AAATTGCAGTATGCGCTGAAGATGTTGCTAGTAGGGCAATGGAAGCTCCGCAAATAAACCATCCAGTTCAGAGGACACAGCTACATCAAAATCATCCACCTAAGCTACAAATCTTCTCCATCATATTTAGTATCGTGCAGTAGGTTTCCACCTCCTCAAACAATTCCTCATGAGATAATAGGAACTGACATATCCAACCGTTCTCTCGGATCTTCAAAATAAGCACCATGTTCCTTGGTGATTTCACCCTATGCTTCCTATCGGGTAACTTACAAGATCGACATCTCTGCCTTATGTATATCTGAAACCCCGAGTAGCCCACAATAACAACACTCTATCCCAGAAGACGCATGACTTTCAAAAATTTAACACATCCAGTTAATCAGACCACAGATTAAAACAATTTATACCAAGAAGAACGTTCAGCCAACCGAGGCATCTTTTATTTATGTAAGTTAGCTTAACTAGTGCTTTTAATTGTATGACGCCCTCATGTTCAGATGGTTCATGATTCCTATTTGGCCATAAAAAATATCACGAATTCTTGGGTTTCCAAACATTTGTCTTCGCTAACATTCATGCTGATGGATCTTCTTTATGCTTGGTTGGCAAGATTCTGCTCGGATGTTACACGCCCTCATTGACCAACGACCGATTCTTCGCAAATTCGAGGCACCAACTGCTACATAGCATGCTTAAATTCCTTACTAACCACAAAGAAATACACCACGGTCACGCTATATGTTCTGAAGATTGCGTAACATGTGACACAACTCTATTATTTCCGCACCTTTGTGAACAGCTAAACGACTAGTAAGGTGGCACTAATTTCTAACACTGGGAGTTAAATAGCCTTCAAAGGCGCCTCTGTGGACTCCCCCATCACAAGAAAGACATCTTTTTCACCGCTCAGGCCTTTTGTCATGCAAAATGCAGCTCTGCATCCACATTAGGAGACATCACAGAAAACTTGAATGTTTATTAATTCGTGTATTATTTGAATTCAGCCGGTGCGCAGTTGTGCTAGCATGGAAGCCTCAGACTGCCAAACCATTTTTTCCATTCTAAGGCGCGTGTTTCACCACGTGGGTCATCTTACATTAATCTTCCTCTGTATGTCGCTTGGAATAACTTTCTCGCATAGAAAATATGGGGTGTGACTAATCATAATGAGTTAAACAAAGATGACAATACAGGCAATATGCCGCTTCGTGTCGCCATCTTACTGATATCAGGCAAACTTAGCCCAGATATATCGCACTTGACATCTCAGAGCAAGCCTAAGTTGGAGGAACAGTGAATCTCTCGACAAGTTACGCACAGGAAATACTGTTTTCCCCAGTAATGTGCTTCACTTCATCCAGTTTGTTCGAAATCCCCCCAATCAAACGAAAGCCAGCCTTCATCATAGCATGACAAACACTTGATGCGAATCTTATTCGGGAATCGTTCTCGCCGAAGGATGTTAAACGACCGTGCACATCAGAGCAATGGTCAGCCCGGTCCTTTAAACCAGTAGAGCCAAAAGCAGACATAGTCTTACGTAGGGTAAAATTAGAGCAAAGTGGCATGAACGGAACGTCTAGCGGACTAATTTTAACTATGCATTCAGAAATTTAGCGGTGTGAGTCATCCTTCACCTATCGAAACTTCAGGAGGTCTCTATCAACAGCTGACACTTACCGAAACGTTTCACCTGTATCTATGGCAAGAGTCAGCAAAGTACCAACCAGTCATTTCACACAATCTGACCCACTATGTATAACTTCATTCAAAGATAAACCATAATGCTTTGTAGAAAAGTTGGATAGTACATGCACTTCACCTGGTTCTCTTTGGGTACACTGAAAAGGCCACAAATGAACTTGTATATGACATACATCAGTACCTTTAATAATGTCGTCCTGGTCTTCTGTCAAGGAACAAGCTTTTAAGTACCGGTATTGGTCATGTCTGGAACAAATACGAAAGTAATTCGAATAAACAAGGTTAATGGGCGTTCATTCATTGTTTACTCACAGTGACACTCCACAGCAAGATAGAGACCTATCTCGTTTCCGAAGAAGACCAACTTAGCATTAACGCTGGAAAGATTTGAACCAGCAGGAATAAGGCTGAAGCAAGAATTAAGGGAAAGAGATAGATGCACAACAATCGTACGGTCATCACATTGGTGCATATTCTCGCTCTTAGATGATATCATCAACAAAAACCAGAATACTGACCAACGCTACCGCCGGTTACTAGGTGAAATCCCTAAATCTAAAGTCTTGATATCCTAAACACGAATGCTATCCGCCACAAACACATTCACAGAAGCGAGAGTGGCTTTCGTATTGACACAGTTTGTTACTGCCAACTCGACCATTACCATCAGTCACTGTCGGCACTTGTCACTCATTCTGCTCGGGTCAGAATAACAGAGGCGCACTTTAGTAAACAGCTAGCTATCCGGAGAGGGAGGCATAAGCATAGACTGGAACACTTTGACACTACGAACAGTCATTCAACGACTGATATTCGCTTACGTGAAGACTGGGCGTACCTTCCCCTAAGAACCTGAAAACAACGAGTTCACCATTATGAAGTCGTTTTCACTCGATAAATCAGAATGCGTTCTCAGTCTCTCGACACGTGTCCTAGGATGTAGGACCTAACTTTCTGGAGGTGTCTTTGTCTTTAAAGTCAGTACTGATGATACATTGTCTGGGCTTTACTGCAAACAAAACTCAGGTGTCTTGTTGTAAAACTGTCTGTTTCCGAAATAAGTACTGCTGAATAACAGCAACAGATACTAATTAATTGTCCTTCAAACGAAGACGGAAACATATCGAACAAAAACTTTTGATGCTCTGTATTCACACGCATACAATGGAGCAAATAATGACAAACACAGTTAGTCCTGAATGTTGGTCTTTTACGTAAGCAGAACTAACAACAGCATGACAGTCATTTGGTGAGGTGTCACGCTATTTTTCTGCTGCAAATAACGAACAGTATTAGCTGGGTGGGATTTCAAAATGGCGCGAACCAATCTTTTTCAACATTCAAGTTCTCTGTTTATCTAACTGGTTTTTCGATAACCAGAACGACTGCCGTGACGAAACTTTTGGACGACATAGCAAGATCGAGACGTCATACTCGGAATAGACTGGTGATACTGCACACGGATTCTCGTCAGTGAAAAGGGTTTGTTTCCGTTCAAGGAAGAAAAGTGCCCTTGTTATTGAGGTTGACACAGAATTATTCACTGGAGTCCGACTGTATTCCCAATCACCAATTACCTGCTGAGTACTTCCGCCTGGACTCGAAAGTATTTTGAGTTCCCCCCATCTTGTCTTCCTGGTATGTCATGGTAGCTTTCTTCGTTATTTTTTCTGGTGTTCTGATCAAGGTCCTGGAAAGACTAAAGGCATGTATTTTGAAGAGCAATTTTTGAAGAGCAATTTTTTATAATGGCCTAGGTAGTTAACATAAAGTAGAGCATAATAGTGCGTAAATAAAAAGATTATTGTGAAGTAGGTAAGTGATATTGAAGTGAGGAGTGAATTCAAAGATCTAGAAAATTAGAAGCCGTAATACAAGCTGATCTGTAGGATGTCTCACGAATTTCTGTAGGGCCCAATGGGTGGCATTTTGACAAGAAGCTGAACAGACTTGTAGATGGTAGGAGCAGCAGCACTTTTTTATAATTTAGGTGTGTACAACTCTTTTTTCATTCGCATGGTGAAGCTCTATTTAGGAGAGATATCTTGAAGATCATGGTAAGTGGACTAACTACGTATCCTGCCTGTTCTTTGAGTCGCCTTAGGTGAATGTTGTCGGATCCCATTGATATCTCTGTGTCTAACTTATTCAGGGATCTCGACGAGATCCAGTCTATTTCACTCTTACCTATCCAGAGCTGGTTCTTCATAGAGTGACGGCTCCTGTAGGAAGACCCTGGAGAAATGGTCTACCTGTGCCTCTGCTTCTTCGCGGTCTTTATCGACTGTGTCGGTGTCAGTGACCGGTTTTGGGACCCCATCGGTTATTTTATTCCTGGGGTTCGTGTAGGAAAATATTTCCCTGTGCTGTCTTTACATCTTGAATTAAATACATTTCTAACTTCATCGGCAATTAACGAATCCCTGCGATAGCTTTATTTCTGTCTGTATTGTGCCGCTTTCTGGCCACTGAAGCCCCGATTATGGTAGACTTGTCCTAGTATTTATGTCTATGACTAAGTGGTCCATGAATCCCCCGGTTTAGTGATGGGGCTAGTTTTCGATCACCTGCGACAGACCGTCTGATGAAGGGTTGGTATAATCTAAATTGTGTCCACACAACCTCCTTTTGAGACTCCGGATTTATATCCTATCATATCACCTTGATATGATTATGAACAATAAATTGTGCTCGAAACGTCATCAGTAAATATTACTGTAAAACACTATGAGACTTTATCAAAATTAATTTTACCCATAATGGAATTATGCTGTACCACAATGCACAGGTTTTATTCTTATATCAGTGACTGACTTCCTGCTGAGTCAGCTTTTTGGCCGATTCCAAATAGATATGAATGTATATACCTACTACTGTTGCTAGGATTAGGTTGCATGCAACTGGTTTAACTGGATGCCGGTTGTGTTCGAACTTGGCCTTGATGTTCAAAGCTTTGGATTTCTCCGCTTTGTAGAAAATGGGCAATCTGCTGGAAAGAGCGGGTCACTAGGTGAATTTAAATAATATTTATTGGATCTAATAAGCCGAATAATCTGGGAACTGTTTTGAACCACAAATAAGCACTTGGTCCTTCCATGTAAGCAAGTTACGTGTAGTCACCATCTTTGTTTAACTTCTCTGTTTTTCTCTTGTAGGACGACTCCATTTTGGTTGACTCATTGAAGTCTGCGAATTCGATTGTTGGTTTAATAACGCTGAATCCTAACATTTCGGAATATCCAGAGAAGTTTGTGAATTTTCCCCATGCGGCAAACTTCCCTTCAAAATCACCTATGAACCGAATGCCTTCGGCGATCGGGGGTGGTGGGCCTCAGCCCCCACTCCATATGCAACCAGTCCACTCAGGTCCGGTGATATCTAGTTCCTTAAATATACCGAATGCCCTTCCACCTGGTATGAAGCATTTTCTAATTTAAAATATTACCCAGGATTGTCTCACTCGGGTCACTCTATGCCAATGTCTGGCCCACATGACCGTGAACCTCCTACTCCTGTCTCTGGCTCCGGTCAAATCCCAGGTCACTACTTTTCTGCCCTTGGTATGAATCCCGGTTCCCCACATCCCATCCCAAACATGATTTCCCACGGCCATCCCAGTCAATTCCATCACCATCCACTATTCTCGCTGTAAGTTCGTTTTTAATGGTGTACTCATTTTCCAATCTGAAACCATATAGTTTGTACATAAACACTCATTTCTAGGCGAAACAAATCGAACTTTTGACTTAAGGGATTGCCTCCCTTGTTGATTTGGTAATAAGTTTTCGAAACTATTGTCTGTCCATTACATAGAGTGTGGACATCACTTTGGCTACTAAGTTGTTCAATGACACTCAACCAAGTTTGCGGAATACTGAAGCGCATGAGACTAACTTAGCTGTTCTTGTTTCTGAGTTTATATTTGTGTTGTGTTCAGCCCTTAACCCTTGTTCTGTGTATTCGTGGATGTTTTATTTTTATTGCCCAGCGTTTGACATTCGCAGTGGACGAATGGCACGAAAAGTGGCTTTCAGCAGCCTATATGAAACAGGCTGTAGCCTACAGTTTGGTAAATACGGGGTCTGTACATGCACTAGATGTGGTTTGCTATCAAATTACCAAGGGTTTTTCTGGGGCCTGTTGCTTAGACCATTATGGTTACCAGCGTTGGAAGTCACACATGTATAATGATCTAAAGGACCCTAAAATCACTAGGTTTTCACTTTGCATTTTGTGTGAATCCTACCTCTTGAAATTATTTCGCCGACCAACTTGTTATTCACAAATGAAATGTAAGTCGTGTGTCAGGTAATAGTTGGTAAAGGTGGATGTTGGCTGCTAAGGCATTCGGTCACCATTTCTGTGCGTGTAACCCCCTAATTCGACGCGGAAACCATCTTCTGTATTGTGAGTTTTTGCGGTGAATTCGGCCTACAAAATAGTGTGCTGACATGCACAAAAACAGCGAAACCTTGTCTGACAACTACAGTAGTAAATGTGCTCATTGTAAATGCTAGTCAAATGTCCACTAAGGTATTAGCCTGCAGGAAGCCATGTTGCTCCACCATTGCAGCTTATATCTGTCAAGTGTGCTATATTCTAAAGTATCGGTTGTTTGAAGCAAGCATTGGGTCTCGGCAATCCACTAGGGACAAGCCGGTTTGTACTGTTGAGACAAATGTGTGAAATCCTTTAAATATTTTGCTGTTTGATGGATAAATCCAGAGGCGACACTTAAATTCTACTGTGTTATGCGAACCGGTAGTGCGCCTCAGCAACCCTACCATACTACCCCGTTGTCGATAGCGTTTTAGCTGCAGCGGGTTTCGAATTCAGGCCTAATTGATTAACAGTCAAGTGATTAGTGCCAACTGGCTAGGAAATTAGTCCGGAACTCGACATATTTCATCAGTTCTAGCTGTTAGAAACGTAATAACACATCACTGGGGCTCGAACATTCGCTATGATGAGTTAGCTCCAAAATGTGAAAGTGTATTGACGAGGTGGTGCTTTATTTTCTCTTCCGAATAACGCTAGCTGAAGTAATCTCACCTCATACAGATCTGAGGTACATTTTTTGTGTTCTTGCAAATTTAGTATTTATGTCTTACTGTATTTTATATAAAGAAACGACTTAGTATTGCTATTTCCCCAAACGCGACGTTGGTTGTATATTAAAGTTATTGTAGCAAGTTGTAAACCCTCAAAGCTTAATCGAGAACAAAATATGTTTGCTGCCAAATGTTTTTAAGCGTATTTGTAGTTTTAGGGTCTTGTGTAGTCATGACCGCATTTTAATTCTGTGGGAATTGTTATCGGCTTTCGCAAAAAATAATTAACGTCTTCTCACCTTGTTTTGTTTGTTGAAATATTGTTGTATTGTACTCGTGATTCCATCCATAAAAGGTCACGAATAATACATCATTTAGGGCATCCAGCGAATATAATTTCAATGTTGTGGAAATGTCTGGAGAGGTTTCGCGTGCATTTCGCATAGTGAGGGCGGTTGTCACTTCCCGGTTGCCTACACCGTGGAAGTTGGTTGCGCGACCTCAGAGCCTAGGGGACAACTGCTTGAGGCCGGTCACACACAGCCTGTTTTTGTTTGTTCTTTTTTATTTGGTGTGTCTCAGTAGCATATTTATCACTTCTGCCCTGTGACACGGCAGCAGGAAGCGCGGTCGTCGTTAATCCGGGCCCCGACCGATCCGGCATGACTTTTGTGATTTTGTTTGGGTCATAACATTGGATTGGGTAACTGCTTTTTGTCTAACCGCTATCCAAACAACCTTTCTGGCATGGTAGGACCTCAAGCGACATAACTCGCAGCCAGTATAGCTTGTTGGGTCATTGCGGTGTTCAAGCCCGATCACCACGTCAAGGTAGCAGCTTTCGGTCGGGAGTTGTGGAAATGGCTAAGTGAAATTAATACAGCCACTCCGATCTACCCTACCACAAACCATGAGCAACTAATCAGAAATAAAGGAAATAATGGTCACAAAACTGTTAAAATGGCTGTAGTTAATGGTGGTTTGAAATCCGTTCATTTATCATATCCTGTTCTTTAACCTAATCTATAATCCAAGTACATCCTGCCACACTGACCAAAGTCTCGCTCGTCTTCTCATTCGGTCGTACAATATGTATATATATGTATATATATATATATATATATATATGGAAGTTCTTCAAAATTTGACTCCATTTGATTACGAGTAGTAACTTGTTCTCACTGTACTGTATCACTGTGTTTTCTACCAAATAAAATTCTTTGATGGAATTTTTTCACTTGAAGATGTTTTCTATTTTTTATTTTAGAAACCGGCTACCACATCTCATAGGTCAACCAGAATTACGAATATTTGAAATGAACAAGCGTTTACAACAACGGAGCGACGTATGTCTGTACATGTTTTCCAAGACACTAACCTATTTTTAGGACTGTGATAGCTTGTGGTGGGAGTCGTTTGCTACAGATTTCTTCGAAGACGATGCAACTCTTACCCTAGCTTTCCTCACAGAAGAAGGTCCAAAGAGCTATAGTAGGTTTATTCTATTACTGTATTTCTTTGTTAGCCATCGGAAGAACACTCATCCCTCGTTATTTCCGCAGTATCTTTGAAAGTGGATGCGGTGAACTATACTATAACCTTAGACTGAACCATGAATATTTTCACCATCCAATTTTAACACTGGATTCAGAATCTGCTACAATGACTATGACTATGGTCAGATCTATTCCCGTTACAGTTGTTGTGGAAGGTCGATTAACACTGGATTTCGCCTTTGATGACTTAATGAGAATTCGGTCTTGGATTTTCCTCATTCGAACGCATCGTGAAATGATAATGAGGTCTATGCTGGGGATTCAAGTAAGTCTCTATGTATATTTGAATATATCAGTCATGTATTTTTGAGTGCATGCATTAAGTGCATTAAGTTTTAACTCAGAGATATAAGGATACCCATAAGTCATTATATTCATCGGGGTATTTATCTGTTACCAGTCGTGAATAAAATATTGTCTGCCGTCCCTGTTCCACAGGCTTTGTAAAGTGCATGAGAAATTTGCGAAGAGTAGGCTGGGCTGCATTCAGGTTGTGTGGATGCGCTGATCATCTAGTCACTGTGAGTCAGTTACTGGAAAATCGTAACGTATTGCAGACCGAAATTTGAGTTGTCAGTCAGACATGTTCCTGTGAAGCTTGCCAGCATTCTGCAAGCTCTATATAAAACACCTCAGGTATGGTGACGACTTGCAACTAGTTATCATCACTGTTGTCAGACAGGATTTACACAGTGACCATTTCTCTTAAACTCTGCCATCAGTGACATTTTGAAAACATCTCAGAAGGATGTGTATGGTGGTAATGTAAGTTCGCTGCCCGGAGAAAGACTTTGACATTGAGTATGCAGACGATGTCGTCTTGCTGTCGTTTTGCCTAAATGTCACGTGATCAGCTGGTGATAAGTATGTGCAGGTGTAACATGTGATTTGTGGCGTCTGAGTGCAAAGTATTGCTGCAAAATTGGTAGGAACCTCTACCTGTACTCATTTTCGTAGATGCACCTGAAGTGGATAAGTTCGTATATTTAGGTAGTTGTACTGGTGCAGATGGCGATGTAACAGACGAAATATGTCTAGTGAAAGCTGAGACTGCAGACCGCAACATGGATCACCTGTGATGTTAGCCTAACCGTCAAGGTTCGGATGCGCGCAGTCTTGCTGTACGCTTCTGAAACCGGACATCTCCGAGCTGAGCATATTTGACGCCCCTGCATATCTGGTCACTGCTGCCCCCGTGGATTTGCTTGCATCTGGTGGCATCATTATGTACGCAATTCTGACGTCCGATGGTATGTGTTTGTACACAGTGTAGATCGTCTTTCTGTAGGCGTTATCACTTTGTAACACCGGCTTCGATTACTTAGATATGTATTGCGAATGTCATCCTTCCTGCTTCCATACCGTTCACTGTTTGCTAGCCTTGACAGTAGGTGGGAAAAGCAGAGAGGCAGTTCAGCTCATGACGTGGAGCCGTAAGATGAAATGTATTTGTGTTAGCTTAGTATCCGTTGTTGTTGCATCATGACTCCGTGGTTGGAATCCGAGAGACAATTCGAATCAGTGGCGAATATGCTCCAATTTCCTTTTCTCCTCTTTTTAAAAGTAACATGGAGTAATGAACGCTCCTTTGAATGCTCTTAATGAGTATGTTAGCCTGTTTTCATGATGCTGTTCCTAAATTATTTTTTTCATATACTGTTTCTGTTGTTTTTGTGTGGCTCCCCCCTTGGTGCTCATACTTCATCAAGTGTGTATCTGAACAAATAATGGTAAAAATCATCGGAAAGCAAAATAACGGGCAGTTGAATTACTAATTCTGTTATAAAAATACATGCTGACGCACTGAGTTTCAACGCAGAACTTAGCAGAGAAATGCAGCAGTTCAAGTTGCCACACTCCATATAGAATACAAAGGTAGACAAAGAGAGAGAAAAAAAAGATTCAAAAGTACTCTAAAAAGCCGAAACATGAGGGAGGAAGAATAGTATGGATATGAAGAATCACAATAGTGAATGCATCTGAGTCAGTGAGAACCTTATCGAGTCATATACCCAATAGTCTTCAGCCATTGATTGATTCTCAGCATTCCAAGTACTCCAACCAAGCAGCCTACACATTCTTACATGGTTGACTCAAATTAACTGTCAAAGATTTCATGGACTGACACCGCGTTTTGGTTTAACTCACTTTTAATTCTTTTCCAACCTAATTCTATCTCGACTAACATTCCCCGTCTGGGAAGGCTATGGGCTAGACATGTGCAACACGTATTTCAGCCATATCAATCCATTTACTTTCACAATCTCTTCGACTGACTTATCATCATTACTTAACACTCGACGCCTGACCTCAATATTACTTATCATAACATACCACTTCTATTATTTTTTCATATGGAATACATAATTTAGTGTTATTAAATTACTTAAAATAGTCCCAGCGTGTTTAGAAGAAGTATCATCCTGGAAAAGCATGACATCAATTCAGTCTACTGTGGTTAGGGTTGTTGATAACCTGCAAACGAAAATAAGTAGATGCCATTGTCTGAAACTGTTAGTAGTATAATAGGGTGAATAATATTGACTGACTGGTTTCAACGTGGAACTTTGCACATATGTACAGCAGTTCCAGTTGCCACACTCCATTTACCACACCAAGCAAGAGAAGAGAGTAAAGAGAGATTCAAAACAGAGAGAGATAATAAATAGAAGTGTGTGGCAAAAAGAATAGTAATATTGAAGAACAATGCAGTTTTATAGGATATTATAAATCACAAAAAGTGAATGCATCTGCGCCAGCCATTAAGAACAATGAGCTTGAGTCATATTATCAATTGTCTCCAGCCCCTAGATTTTACCATCCCGAGGACCCCAACCAGTCAGTCAGGAAGTCTACACCTCCCTACGTGGTCGGGCAACTTAAACTGACTGCTTTGAATTTCATTGACTGATGAGGCCATCTTTGACTACCACTGGCTCTCTCTTTTCCAACCTGATCCTATACCAGTCAGCTAACATTGACCGTCGAGGAAGGTGATGGTTAGAGAAGCATGCGTAATACATGTCCTAACCATCTCAGTCGGTGTAACTTCACAACGTCGTCGATTGATTTTCTCTCCTCACCTAGTACGCGACACTTAACCTCTATGTCGCTCACCTTGTTATACCATTGAACACAGAAGATAGAACGCAGACACCTATGATCAAAGACAGCTAGCCAGGCTTTTCATGTCTTCCAGATTCAACGGCTATGTCTCACTCACAGCCATAAAGGAGGACACAGCGAACTGTTGAGCAGTACACACGTCATTTGGTCGACAGTCAGCGAATATCACGTCTATGAAGCCAGAGATGGCGTAAGTTGACAGACGAATGCCAAACGAGCCTTCTGTATCCGTGCTGAGATTTCGTCAGCGATCAACCCGTTTGGCTGTCTGGTACAACTTCCCGAATAAGTAAAGTAGTCAACACGCCCTACCATTTCACTCCCTATCTTTAAACTGGGAGTTAATGGTGAGTAATATTAAGGTTAGACGTTAGGTTAGACTAAGAAGGGGGAAGTCTATCGATGTGGTTGTGAAGCTACATCGACTGAGTTGGTCATGACAGTGTTACGCATGCCTAGCCATAGCCTTCCTCCACGGCTGATGTCAACTGACTGATATAGGATCAGATTGGAAAAGTGCAAGTGGTGATCAAACCAAAACATGGTTTCATCAGTCAATGAAATCCACAACAGTTAGTTTAAGCCAGCCAGCCACATAGGGAGGTGTGGACTTCCTGACTGATTGGGGTCCTCGGGATGATAAGAACTAGTGGGTGAAGAAAATTTGTAATGTGACCGAAGATCATTGTCAATGGCGCAGATGCATGCATTCACTCTCTTTTATCTGACATATCCAAAAAGACCCCGTTATTTCTCCATGTTTCTCCTTCACATTTCTGCAAAATCTCTTTTTTCTTTTGTCTACCAGTGTGTGCTTCATTCACTGTGACAACTCGAACTTCCGTACTTCTTTGCAAAGTCCTATGTTGAGACCAGTTAGTCAGATACGGTTCAAAATTGTTCTCATTGTCGCTAATGTATTCTCTCTTTATAATCTCCTCGAACTGTTAATTTTTACCATACAATCGTTTTTCCAGTACATTTCTGTTCAGTGTAGTGTCTTCGCACTTCTTTCTTCACCTTTATATGCGCATTTTATGATATGTGGCAAGTTTAACAGCTGCACTTCTGCACAAAGTTCTACGTTGAAATTTCATTCCAGTTGGGGAAACACTAAGTGCATTCTATGTATCCTTGTCATCTATAAAGGTTATAAATAACATGTTACCTTGGGTGTTAGTCGGCATTGGTTTTTAATTCAAAAAGAGTTGACGCCAACAATGAATTAACCATAAATCATTATATTTTTCTAAAATTAGCCTTTTATTCGCGTAATAAAATCGTATTCTATAATTATTAATTTCTGTTTGATGCATCAATTCCATCATTGACACAACTAAGGTTGTGTTGCATTCTTCAAATTTGATTTATTGACAAAGCTAGAGTTCACGGGACACTGAATCCTCCAAACCCGCCCATGTCACTGAATAGTCAATAAACTTGGTCACCTAACCTGAAGGTCTCTGATTCGATCCCTCGTGGGTTTGTCGGTGCACACCAGTGAAGAGTCCCAAGCTAGGATGAAACAACTGTCCAGTGCTCCCTAGTTTTCAGTGGTTCTCTAGCTAGTTTCTCTCGCTTGAGTTTGTAGCTTCAACTAACTACTTAACCCTTTTTTGGCATGATTTAAAAAGTACACATTGTTTTGCTGATCTTCTCTATCTGGCCTTCAGTGGTTTTTTGTGTTTGTTTTGTTTTTCTCTCTCTCTCCACAGGATCCAGCCTTTTTAGATCAGTTGTCTAAAAATATTACACGCTATGGTATGACAAATGCTACCTTGAATTTCTTCCGTTTATGTGTCATCTTGGAACCAATGCAAGAATTAATGTCTCGTCAGAAAGCCTATAGTCTTACTCCAAGAGATTGTCTTAAGACCACTCTGTTTCAGAAATGGCAACGAATGATGCCTCAAGGTTTGTTTAAACACCTGTTTTTTTAAATCTGTTGTAAATTGTTAACTGAAGTTTATACAATTTTTTGTTCTTCGGTTGGTGAACTTGAACAAATAAAAAATAACAATCAGTGCTGGCTGGCTGGCTGATGCAATGCAGGATGATATTACTTTAAAAAAAAAATTTATTTTGTGTTCCGGCTGGAAGGTGAAGCTTCACATTTGAACTTTGAGGTCTCAGTGACGGTGGTGTTCCTTTTTACGGGGTGGTTTTGTTAGCCTTACTCCCAACCTTCTGTCTTTACCGAGTTCACTACCAGCCAAGTAAGGGCTTAATAATGTGTCGTGGAGGGTGGGGGGAATCTAACCTGAACCACATGAGTGGTGTGGAAGCACCTTATACTACCGAACCATCGATGCACAGGGCAATATGATAGTATCATTCTGTTTTGTCACCTCTGACAGTTGCGTACAAGAGATGAACTCTAAGATGAGAAACTCTGCTTATCTGAAAACATTAATCTTTTGAAACATTAGGAGGTTAGTGGAAGTATGTGACTCCATTGGCTTTAGCACTTGACTGCCAACCACAACAGGCTATAGGCTTGAATGTCGCCGTAAACTACTTCAATCTAGCCAATGACGAGGGGGGAGGGCTATCTTCATGCGACAAATGTAACTCATATCCCTCTGTACACCAAGTATAGTAGAGTCTTAACTAACTTTTAAGAATAGACATCATTTTAGATTTGTAGTCACTTTTATTCATAATGATGACTCCAGAACCTTTATCAGGTTCCATAATAATTATATTAGAATTTTCCCGTAGCTCTTTCAAGGCTTTGAAATGCTGGGAATTTAAAATACTTTTCTCCTTTGGGTTGTTGTTTAAAAACTTTTAAGATATCATATACTTTGATTATTTTTTTAATTCCTTCACGTTCCCAGTGGAACATAGGGCTTCAAGCTAGAGACTTGAAGTTTCTGTAGCAGTGGTGATTATTTTTACAGGATGGGGTTGCTAGCCTCATGCCCAACCTTTCCTCTTTACCAGCTTCTATTACTAGCTTAGCGAGGTAAAGGAGTGCATCGGTGGCCGGGGATCGAACCCCGGACCATGTGTACGGTTGGCGAGCGTCCTAACCGCTGTGCCACCGACGCACATACTTTGATTATAATTAAAGATAATTTTGAAATAATGTACGAAATAAATAAAAATTTCCCTGGTGTCCAGGGAATTTTGAAAAATAAGTAATTGTATTCATCACATATACAACAGTCAGTATGCTGCATGTTTCACTTTAAAATACGATTCATCGCAGACTTCTCTCTTCATTTTGACAACAGTAAATAATAGACACCATAGTTAAATTACCTTGAAGCAACCAATCTGATCACTGCTCAGCATTACAAATGGATGCTTTTCATAATCTTCGTTGCAAGATTCACCCTTACACCTTAGTCTTACCCTAACCATTTAACCTTGAATCAGGATAAAACTTGCATCGAAGATTATGGAAAGAATCGATTTTTTTGTTGCTAAGCGATCTGATTGATTGGCTCAGGGTCGTTTGACTGTGGTGTCTATTCTTTACTGTTGCCTCCCTTTTTTATATGACTTACTATTATATGATTTTTGTTCTAAATTTTTGTTACGGAATAGTTACCTTACTGAAGTTGGCTTTCTGATGTGATGGTGATGCCTGGCAATTATATATTCCCTAATATTGCACCTTTGTTTAAGGGTTAATAGTGCGTGTTAATTGGTAAGGTAGGTAGTATTGGTTGGTTGGAGCGAGTTTTCCATTTTCCAGGTCATGAAACATACTCATTATGTGAAGGTGGTTAGTAATCTCAGTTGCACAGAGATTGCAGTTAGACGGGCGAGTTTGCGACCCAGGACCCCCCTCTCAGTGGATGAAAGTCGACTGCCTAGGGTCTATGTCAATGAAAACCGAGTTTGATCGAGACACTGAAAGACTTTGATAAACATACGTATATCGTATCAAAAATTCAATCGATATTGTTATGACTGGTCCTCATAGTATGTTAGTGTTGTTAGTTGTGCAACAGTCAGTCACGTGTCAGCCTGTTATGGTCATCTGTGGCCAAACCAAAAGCAATAACATTTGGAGAGCTCACTTCAATATATGTGTAGAACTTGAGCACTGTTGTAGTATGTAATTCCATATTAGTTTGTTTATGGGATATATCACCCAGTGGAACAGCATTATTCACGGGATGACGTTTCGAACACAATTCACCGCTCATAATCATTTTATCAGTTGCAACTACCCAGCTTCCAGACTTAAGTTTTGTGCTTTCATGTCGTGTAGTGTTATAACTGATGTGATTATGAACAATAAGTTGTGTTTGAAACCTCATCCATTAAATAATACTGTTTCACTATGTGATATATTCTTTAAATAAACAAATAAATATGGAGGAACTCACTATTACTTGAGAAATGTGTATGTAGTGTTACTTCTATCCAGACATGTTCTGCGAATGTCATCCCAGAGGCTTCCGTACAGGTCTCTGTTCGCTAGCCCTGGGACGGGATGGAAAAGGCGGAGGGGTGGTTAGTCCATGACGTGGCGTCGTGGGATGAAGGATATTTGTGCTAGATTAGCATCGGTTGGTGTGTCACAAATCCCTGGTTGGGGTCCGCGAGATAGCTCGAAACGTTATCGGATATGGCCAAGAATCGTAATCAATGGCGAACGTGTTGCAATTTCCTTCTTTCTTCCCTTCCTGATGATAGTTGACGAATACTGTTTGAACTTGTTAAACATGACTTTTCCTTCCTGATGAAGTTCTTTATCCGTTTTCCACTTATATTTTTTACTTTTAATCTATGTTGTTTTATTATTATTGTGTGGCGCATCTTTCTTGGTGCCATATTGTACCAAGTTTTTCGAATCGATGTCTCGAGAGTTTATCAGATGTTGTCGAGAATCGTAAATCAGTGATGATGACGAACATATTGCAATGTCGTCTTTTCCTTTGATGAAAGTACTATGAAGTGTAACGATGAACCATCCTTTAAATAACCATCGTAAGTATGCTTACTCGCTTTCTAGACGAGTTCCCTCATCTTTTCCATCCATATCACCCACATATATTGTTGTTTTATTATTTTTGTGTGGCGTATCTCTTGGTTCCCGTATTTTCCCAAGTTTGTGTTTTATTAATAATAATAATATAAATAATGGTCTCGGAAATCCTTAACTGTTACGCCAGTGGATGATTGTTCATTGAGAACCATGGAATCGAAACTACTAATCGTTGTGCATAAAGCCAGAGGTGAAAATATACCCCTAAAAGTATCCAGCTGTAGATTTGTTTTGAATAATCATCTACCACCCTAAGCATATCACAGCACAATTTCTAAAATATGCAGAGTAGTAGGCGAAGAATTTTCTAGAGGTAGATAGCTAGATCTCACATGGTAGTGGGCAATGTGAGTCACACAATTATTGTATGAGTGCTATTGCTTACTACCTTCCAGTTATCCTGGCCGAAATAGGCGCAGCAGCGGGATTCAAAACCTGTTGGACCCTGTCTGTCTGTCTGTTTTCAACATAGGACTTTGCACCGATGTGCAGCAGTCCGAGTCGTCACACTCCATATAGCACACAAAGCAAGAAAAGAAATGCCAAATAGAGACAGTAGACAGGGATATGAGACAAAAGGAATAGTAATAACGAAGAACAATATAGTTTCATTTGGGTATTGTAAGTCACAAGGAGTGGATGCATCTCCACCAGCCAGCCATTGAGAACGATCACTTTGAGCTATATCACCATTTGTCTCCAGCGTTCATTGGTTCTTACTTACCATCCCGAGGACCCCAACCAGTCAGGAAGCTAGTCAACACCTTCCTACGTGGCTTAAACGAACTGTAGTGGATTTAATAAAGTATAATTATATTTCAATAGTTTACACGCAATGATAAGTTTCGTTATTGGTAATATTTCGAGCAAAATTACCAATAACGAAACTTATCATTGCGTGTAAACTATTGAAATATAATTATACTTTATTTGATCTAATCCACAATGCTCAAACTTTTTACTGATATTAATGTAGTGGATTTCATTGACTAATGAAACCATGTTTTGGTTTGACCACCACTAGCTCTCCCTTTTCCAACCTGATCCTATATCAGTCAGCTAACATTACCCGTCGACCTGTTGGACCCATTGGTTGAAATTCAAGTGCTTAAGTCAATGAGCCATCTGAGGAAGTTATTTTCATATCGACTAAAAAAAGTCTCATATTCGCGATATGTTGTTGTGTATATTGATTTTTGGCAAACAAAAGACGTGGTAGGTGAAACAGTGTTATCTATGAGGTTCATTGGTTCATCGTGGATAGTCTGGTTTTACGGAATATTTATAAGAATTTCTTTTATTTATTCTTTTTGTGTTTGTAGTTGTTATTCATTCATTTATTTTATTTAGAAGCTACACGGCAGCCTAGTAAAAGACGTAAGCGTAAAGGCAGTTCAGCCACTGCAGATGGCTCAAATAGTACGGGTCGAGCTTCAAAACGCAAACAATCACCCATTCCATTACCGTCTCATCATATCGCTCAGCCTGGGGTAAGTTGATTTGCATCCCTCTCTTGGTGTGTGTGTGTGTTTGTATGTGTGCGTGTGTGTATAATGCCTGCTTAGGATTAAGACTGGCTAGAATATACTAAGCGAGATTCATTGACGTTGAAGAAGTCTTCGGCGGTGTTGGCCACCACCAAGTAATTTACAGACTGCTTCAGTACTACAGAGTGTTGCAAACCTTTATCAGTCTCATACAACAACAGAAAAAACTTGTTGGTGTCTTTGAAGTGAAGACAGGAGTAAGACACAAGACTTGCCTACTATCACCAACGACGATATTCCTGATTGGGGTGGACTGGATCATAAGGTAGACAGACCGTGCGTGGAGAGCGGGAAGACAGAAATACGTTGGATCGACAAGAAAGATTCGTGGATGACTTATGTCTAGCGTCATACACACTCGAAAACCCACAGGCTAGCAGAAGAAGCAGTTGGTGAAGAAAGGAAATCAAGTGAACAGACAGAAGACAGGGGTGATGAAGGTACCCACCAACCAGCAGCAACAACAAAAAGCACCAGTCACAATGAACGAGAGAAATTTGAAGAGGGTCATCTTTTTCTCACTTGTCTAGGGAAGCATCGTTTCAACTACATGCAGCACGGATGAGGATGTTGAAGCGTACCGTGCCAGGATCGAAAAAGCAGAACTGAAATTATTGTGGAAATCTACCTCACTCAGCAGCATAAAGGACAAGATGTGTATTTCGTTTAACATTTAATGTCGAGTCAGTTCTTCCGTGTATGGTTCAGAGATTTGAAGCATTACGAGAAGCATTTCCAACAGACTGCATACTTTTATCAACAACTGTCTTCGCTCTACCTCATGAAGGATAAACAACAAGAAACTGAGGCAACAAACCAATTAAGGACCTATCGCCCAACAAATGTGCTGACAGAAATGGAGATGTACCAGGCACACATTGTCGGAGGCCATCGAGTGGAGCCCCGAAGGAGGAAAGCGACAGGTTAGATATGTATCCCAGGGTGATATGGAGAAGATGAAGAAGGAATGATACCTTATGGGTAGTCGTTGGGCCAGCTAAAGGGGACTGCGAAGAACAGAGTGAAATGTAGATGTGCTGTTGAAGCCCCCTATGTTTCACTCGGAACCTAGGGAATGGCAATAATAATGATGATAGTAAGAATAAATGCAGTTACGATTTTTGCCCTACATTCTACTTCTTTTCATTACCAACATTCCGTTTTAAGTTTTTTTTTGAATTTAATAGGATTGTTTCTTTTTTGAATAAGGCATTTAGAAGACAAATTTCGCGAGATGATGTCGTCATTTCGTAGTTTCTTTTCAACCCCTTTACAACTAACATGGTTAACAATAATAAAATAAAGTTCATGACAATTACTCAGATAAATTAAAAAGTACATACTAATGACCAATCATGTTTAAATAGGTCAAGTAGTCAGTCCATGGTCGGCGAAGATTGAAGTCTATTGTACACACAGTTTAGGCTGTATGTGATTAATTCCCAAAAGTGCTTCCATCACCTTCAATAACCAACCTTGAATTAGAGTTATGTGATGAAATAATTGTGAAACAGTCATTCATATTGATTTTGTGACCTGACATTAATAAGTGCTTTGCAATGGATGATGATGCTGGATTTCCATTCAGATTAATAACTACATTGGGATTTTCTATATGTTGTAATAACCATTTTGGAACGTGTTCTTTTCGACGACATTGGAACATTCTGCTAGTTCTACCTATATCGATGTCGCCGCGACTGCAGGTGAACTTGTAGATACAGTTTGAAGTAGAGTCTACAGAATTTCGTCCTTTAATCGTAGGTACAGGGATAGAAAATGTTCGGCATGTGAGAAAAAGAGATTTGGCGGCGTAGAATGTTCGTTTGATGGCTGACCGAAGTCTTTGAGCTATCTGTCAACTGCATAATCTGGTCACCCTTGAATGGTAGGTTAATAAAGATGGCTTTCTTTGGTACAGAAGCTGTCTTTTCGAGATGTGGTCTTTCTTCACTGTGACAAGTGATAAAGTAAGTTTTCTGGATAACCATTAGCTAATAAAACTGAATGTATATGTTGAAGCTCATCCATCAATGTGTCACTCGTGCATATTTTTCGGGCCCTTGAGAACAAACATTTCACTAGGGAACGTTTATACTGGATAGGAACAAAACTGGTGAAATGAAGATATTGCCCACTCCATGTCTGTTTACGAAAAATAGATCGCTGAATCGTTCCATCATCTCTCCTGGTCATTGTAATATCGAGGAAACCGAGTTTATTAGTCGCCTACCATGGACTACATGACCTATTTAAACATGATTGGTCATTAGTATGTACTTTTGTTGTTTTTTAAAATTTAACTGAGTAATTGTCATGGACTTTATTTTATTATTGTTAACCATGTTAATAGTAAAGCGGTTGAAACGAAATGACGATATCATCTCGCGAAATTTGTCTTTTAAATGCCTATATAGAAAACTATATGCTCGCACCAGCAAGTACAAAAACTCAACCATACCCTACTTAGCTCGTGTTCTGTGTGATAAAGAAAGCATTAGGCGTGACACTTATAATTCATTAAATAGTCAGTAGTACAACTGGATCTCGTCTTTCTAACTCATATCATTTATAGGTACAACATTTTCTTTCTTTCTTTTCCTTTTCTCTCTCTCTCTTTTTCCGTTATGTGTTGCTTTGTTTCTTTCTCCCACTTACGCCAGTAAATATGACAGCTCCTACTTTTCTAACACCTTCAAACACTGTTCAGCTTTACCTTTGCTACTGACATGCCAATGAGCTGTTGTCATAATGAACTGTGATTTCCTTAATCTTTATAGAATTCTATTTATTGATAATGTACTAACTGGATGCAATACTGTAGTGAACAAAATGCTGAGAATTCCATTCTGTATCACATGTACTGTTTTGGAATAAAGCAAATTATTATTATTATTATTCAAATTTATCAAAGGGACTAATTGTTTTAATGTTTCTTTTCTTTTTTCTTTCAAGGATGTTATGATCGTTGGTGAACCAACTCTAATGGGTGGAGATTTCGGTGATGAAGATGAACGCTTGATAACTCGTTTAGAGAATACGCAGTATGATGCTGTAGCAGCAGCGGCGGCCGCAGCTGCAGCCAATTCCGGTGTTATGGCTTCTTCCCATATGATGAATTCAGGTCCTTTCCCCGGATCGAATGATTCACCTGCTGGTGCCGGTATCATGTCATCACCCCTTGGTGGTGGCGGCGCCGGTGGCGGTGGGATGAATCCAGGAGGCGGTAATATGTCATTAAATAATGCCAACCAGCAGCAACAACAACAGCAGCAGCAAATGAATTCTATTCAGTTCCGTCCAGGCCCAATGTCGTCATCAGCTGGTGGTGGTGGTGGCGGCGGCGGTATTAATAATAATTCAAATCAAAATATGCCATTGCATGAAGGTGTTTTCCCCGGTAGTAATATGAATAATAACAATAATATTACATCTATGCAACAACAAAATCAAACATTAGTTTCTATGCCTCCTAGTCAATCGCTTTATACAAGTTCAGCGCCGAACAGAAGTCTACAACACCATCATCCTCATCCACAAATGATGGGACAACAATTTATGCCAGTATTTACAAAAGGTCAAATGTCTACGCCTAATTTACCAAACAGAAATGGTAAGTATTCCTTAAATAAACAGAATCATCGTAAGGCACTGTTGTTTTTGTTTTGATTGAAATATTCTCTAAAGTATTGGTGATGGCTCTTTTAGTGTTTCCTGTCATATAGCTTTTTTGTGTGCTTATATTGTAGCATTCCATTCTCTGTCATTTTGTACTTTCTTCGGCGTTTTGAGTAGTGGTCACTAGGCCATTTCACTCTATTCTCTACAGTCATTCTTAACTGGCTTCACAATTGCCCACAAACTTTCATTTCCTCTTCATGTGATCTCCTACATGTTGTCATCCTCAGACGCTGTCAACTCGTTAACTCTCATCTGGGTTTCTTTCGAGGGCTTGACATAAGAAGTCACTTGAAGGTGTCTCTTCCTTTAACGTGTATATCTCGTCCATCTGCATATTTGTTGGGCAGGATTCAACGTAGAACTTGGCACCGAAGTGCAGCAGTTCCAGTTGCCACCTTCCAAATAGCACACAAAGGTAGACAAGAAAATGAGTGAAGGGAATCAATAGAGTTTTGACAAGTATAAGAGTGATACAGAATGAGTAATGGTAGAAAGGAATATGAAAGATTACAGAGACTGAATACATCTGCGTAAACCATTGACAACGAGGATTTTGAGCCATGTCACCTATTGTCTCCAGTCATTGATTGATTCGTAGAGTCCCGAGGGCGGGCCCCAACCCGGAAGTCTGCATCTCCCTCCCTACCTGACTCCGTTTAACTGTCAAGGATTTCATGGATTGATGAGGCCATGTTTTTGTTTGGCCACCACTTACTTTTTTCCAACCTGTACCTATATCAGCTAGTAATGCCCGTCCGTCGGGGGAGGCGATGGTTAGGTATGCGCAGCACGTGACCTAGCCATCTCATGTTGGACAGGAGGTTCTTCGTAGGTTTGTTGTCCGGATTCCTCGTTGCTTATCCTTCATTATGGGGCGGAAACAGTTGTTGATAAATTCTGCAACCTGTTGCGAATGCTTTGGAGACACATCAGTTGGCTCTGAACCATACAGAACTGACTTAACATTGGTGTTGAAAATCCGAGTCGTCTTCGGTATACTGAGTGAAGTACATTTCTGCAATGATTTCAGTTCACAAGAGGTGGCTCTCGTGTCCCAAGTGGCCTAGTGGATAACGTTTTGGCGTTTGTAACAATGGGCACTGGGTTCGAGCCTCGGTGAGGAAATCATCACTCACTGGGGAATGCAGGTACATCCAGATAACGAGTCCCAAATAGGACGAAATGCGCCTCTTGGATTCCACTGCTAGTCACCATCCACCAATTGAATTTCAATGAAAATCCGTATTGATTTTTCGATTCTG